CCATAGTTGTTTTGTGAAATTGAGGGAATTAACACTAAAATGATAAGATAACAATTGAATTACATTTTAAAAAATAAAATAAAATTTCAACGTCCCTTCAAACGAGTGAAAAGAAAAAGATTTTATCGACAAAAATCCTCAACGTATTGTAGTAGAAAAGAATAAGACAATTCCTCTAACACAGATTAATATGAATTATTCCATTGGAGTTGGAAGGAGTTCGGAAATTGCTTCACAATTAAAACAGTTTGATACAATATGTCTTTTTTTGAATCTTACAAATTAAAAAGTGAATATTTTATTATTTTTATTTTAAGAAATCGCACTTTAGTTCCTTAACTGGCACCACACGAAATTCCCAAAGAACAAACACAAGAATTTAATTTTCAAGAATTCAAATGTTCACAATCCGAATTTTCAATGTTTCTTTAATCTCGAGAATTTATGACATAAATAAAAATATTACAATTGGTTTTAGTGATAAGTAAAAATTTAATGGATTTATTTTTCATCAAATATCGGTGTGGTTCATTTTACGATATGAAAATTTAATTTCGGATTTTTTTCTAAATATTATTCGTGTTCTACCTTTGCTCTATGTAGCACTTTGCGTCCACAACAAGTTTTCAATTTTATCGAACTTGAATTTCAAGAGAATGGAGATCGTCAACTTTGACTTTATTAGTCAAAATATTTTGTTGCCCTTCTCGCAATCTCTGCTGAACCACCATCTTAGGCGGGGTGTTAAAGATTGGAAGAATGCAATGGGTCAAGTCATCAGAAGTGGGCAAACCTCCAAATGGACCAAGAATGGACAAAACCAACAAAGTTGGAAGAGCGAGACACGAGGGGCAGGGGAGCAGAGGAGGATGAATTTGATTTTGAAACTACTTTCACGTCATCACGTAATTCTATTAACAGTCAAATTAGAAGTTTTTATTTTTAACAAATATAGATGCTACAAAAGTTAAAAGGTTGAGCAATGAAATTGGTGTTGGATCCAAATATATATGATGCAACCGTCTTTGTAACATTACATTAATAATTTTGAGTAAGCTCATGTTAAGAATTTTTGTTTTCTTTATTTTACCTTATTACCTTTTGACGTCAAAGTAAATAAAATTTTACAATTACAAAAATGAAGAAAGGTCTCTCCAGAAAAAGTTTATGGTTCGCGAACGCCCGGCGGCTGTCTGACTGAATTCGTCAAAAATTTCAAATCAATAGCATTTACAAAACAATTTATTGGTTGGATTTTTATTTTTTTATTATTTTCTTGCTGACCAAAAAACCTAATTTTCAGTACAAAATGGGCAACGAAAAGTAGGCACGTCATGTCCCCTAAGAGACCACTTGAAGGACGTTTCCTATGAATTATCATATGACCACTACACTTGTAGTCTGTAGAGAGAGAGAGAGAGAGATTACGTAGTTTTTTCCCATCTTAAACCAAGTCAAATGCCACGTATTTCACTTTGAGTCAGAATTTCACACTCATATTAGCGTGAATAATACTAAGTCAACATTGTTTGGTTGACATTATTGTGTACATTTTATTGGAGTATAAAAAATTGTGGACAAGAAAGCGTGTTTGTTTTTCTTCTTCTTTAAAACTGTCTAATGATATGTTGTCACGCAGTATAATATCAAAAATATAATACAAAAAATGATGTACATATAGTATGATAGTATTAGCATTCCATGTATAATTTTCATTACCAACTTTAAAAATCATAAAAACAAGTATTTTGAAAAATCTAATACGATGGCTAAGTATGGATAATTCCTATTAACGATTGTGCTACATGTATATAATGATTTACATACAGATAAAATGTCAAAAAGAAAGGGAAAATCTTTTTTTTTTTTTTTTTTAAGAGACTCTGACCCAGTCATATTCCACTGTATCATGTGTATGTAAATTATCACGTAACTCATTATGTACAAATAATATTATTTTTCTACTTGATGGTTGTATATGTTATCTCTACATATCATTATCTTCATTTTAGTCGGAAGAAATGAGCGGGAAACTTCTAATATAGCCTTTGTTTGATTTCCATTTTTTAAAATATATTTTTCTTTTTTTCTTTTCAACTACACATTTTCAATAAAATAATATTAAATGCAAATAAAAAATTTTACTTTATTTTTTAACAACACATTCTCCATCAATCTGTTATTTCAAAATGTATATATACGAAAAAAGTGGGGCTCAGCGCATGCAGATAATGTTAAATCAGGATGATTGGATATTCGTGAAAGAATGGCTCTAAAATGAAAAATGAAAAATTTGTTATTTTCTTCCTTTGTTCAGGGTATTTAAGTGCGAAAAGTAATATGAGTGTATAGGAAAATAAGATGTAATTATTAGATTGAAGGCATGGAATCAGTAGCTCAAATCCAATTATTCATTTCAATTCACCCACGATATATATTTTCCTGATCGCACTTCTATAAAATAGTGGCTTATTTGGGAGAATAAATGTGTTTGAGCCACATTATTTTGGAAGAATGTATTTTAAAATAGTAGATTGATGGAGAATGTGTGGTTGAAAAAGAATGAAAAGTTATTGATGTGTAAAAATTTTAATGTGACTCAGAGGCTGAAATTCAGATGTTGGTTTAAACTTCAACCATTTGAATTATTTGTTTGATTTTTTGTTATGATGAATCATTTGGGTCCCATCCATGTTAGGCTCTAAAAGTGTTCAGGTGGTACGATTGCACAAAATCATCTAATTATAGATAAATCCATTAATTTGGAATTGTTCTTCAGTCTACGGTGGGCAGAATAAAACTGTCTACCTATTGATATGGTAGGAGAGCCTAACGTTAGGTTCTCTTCATGGGCATGATAAGATTTCCCATCTTGGACAGGAGAACATGGCTGTCTATTAATTAACGATCATGAGTCACTCCAAAAAATTAGCTTGATCTACTTTGTTAAGTCTAAATTATAATTGACAATTTTTAAATTTGTAATTGACAATTTTTTTAATCAAAATCAAGTCCTAGTTGAATTGTATTATGAATTTATCGAGTTGTAATTAAATTTGGGCAAATTCCGTCATTTAGACTCTCGATTAAGTCTTTTTATCATTTATGATAATTTTTATTTTGGCAATATTTCATTTAATAAAATTCGGATTCGTATTTCGTTTGTTGGAGAACGATTCTGAATTTTAGGAGTTTCAATTTAAGTTGTTATCTCGAATTTTTCCATTTATGGAAAAATACATATTTTTTGATTTTCTAGATTTTGTTAGGGTTTTACTATTTAAAGTATTGTAAGCCCTTTGAGGTCGTAGTTTATTGAATTGAATAAAATTTCTAGCGATTTTTTTTTTTTTTTTTATCTTTTTGAAGTTATTCATCCTTCACCACTACGTCAATAACTAAAGAATTGTAATAATAATAAAGAAAAATAAAACATATTAGGCCCCTCTTTGAGTCATTAAAATTTTTGTTCTCATTCTTCTACTCATTTTCAACCAAACATTTTTCAATAAAATAACATTTTCCATCACATCAATAATTTTTCCTTCTCTTTCAACCACATATTCTCCATCAATATGCTATTTCAAAATACATTCTTCCAAAATAATATGTCTCAAACACACCCCTAGATAATAGATACGTAAACAAATTAAAGCAACAACAAAAATGGCGAATGGCATGGTAAAAGTCGGATTCATCGAATGTCTTTATTGAAGCTACAATTAATACTCAAAAAGAATGAAACAATGCAAGGCTAGAGAACAGTCGAGGTGATAACCTTCTATTCATTAAAATTACACGTTTGAGTATATAAAACCCTATAGAGTTAAATGGTTGAAATTAATAAAAGTTATTTTCAGAAAATGACTTATCTTTGCATAATTGAATTATTAAAACGTATTGAAAGGCAGTGAGGCTGTCATAATCAAGAAAGTCGCAATTAAGGAAAGGTGTAAAGTGTCGTTCTTCAAACCAAGATTTGTATACTTTAATTCTTTATTCAATCAATTAATCAAACTAAAAAGTTCCGATCTATGGTAAGACTGAACGAGACTTTGATTCTTCTGCTGAATTCAATTTTTCAAAAAGTAAACGTCAAAATAGTACTTCAAAGAATAAAATACCTAACTTGATTTCGATGAATATTATTTATTTGGGCAAATGCAAAAACACTTTTGCTATGTGTTTGGAATGGTCAATTAACAAATCCAATTAGAAATGGAAAGATATAAATTTATATACAAGAACACAAAAGAATGATTACAATAAATTTAGAATCGACACTTATTCTTTTACTTTCGTGTTTAATTCATTATTCATCCAAAGTAGTTAGCTCTCGACTATTACAATAATCCAATACCCTCCTATGCCGCTTTTCGCGAAATTGCAAGATTTGTAAAAAGGGGAAATTAACTATGTCCAAAATTCTCTTTTCTTAAACTTCAATTTTTATCCATTCTCTTGTATTTCTTAATGAATAACCCAAAAATAGTTTCTTGAATAAATAAACAACAAAATACATTGTGGATCGTTTTGTTTATTCTTAGAAATACGAACATTTTATTTATTTCGAATATATTAAATTATTGTTCGTACTGAAATTGAAATCACCATATTGCATCACAGCTGGAAAGATCATTCCTAAGATGTATATAGTCCAAATATTTAGTGAGGATGATTGGATAGATCACGGTAAAAAAACCCCAAATCTAAGGTGCATATGTATAAAATGAATTAATAATAAACGTGTTGGAAGGATTGAATACCATTTGATACAAGAGTCAAATCATTCAAACCGTTTTACTCTTTTCCTCCGTCTTTTCAAAACAAATACCAGGTATGATCCTGAAGTCCAACGTTCATCGGGGAGAAACTTCAATCAACATGGTCTAAATCTTTGCAAATCTCACCGATAAATACTTCATGTAGCGTAGCAAAGGTCTTCCTACCTTAAACTATTCGAACCCAACAAATTGAGAAAGCATCCTTGTCATAAAGACATGCAAAGATCTCCCACAGCTCGATTCGTGTGCAATCAGATCCTTCGCAACCAAAGTCATATCAAAACAAAACTTCGTCAACAGCCACCGTGTGATGTGTTCATCAACCACAGAGGAATCGACACGAAAAGGAATGTTTCCGGGCTGCTTAACGATCATCTCAGGCGGCTCGGGTTCAGGCCTTTCTTGGACTGCAAAAACATGAAACCTGGGGACAAATTGTTCGATAATATTGACATTGCAATACAAAAATGTAAGGTCGGGGTTGCTGTTTTTTCTCCCCAGTACTGTGACTCTTATTTTTGTTTGCATGAGTTGGCTCTTATGATGGAGTGCAAAAAAAGGGTTATACCAATTTTTTGTGATGTAAAACCTTCTGAACTTCGGGTTAAAGATGATGGGATTTGTCCAACTGAGGATTTGGACAGGTTTCACTTGGCTCTTGAAGAGGCAAAGTACACAGTTGGACTAACATTCGATACATTGAGGGGGTAAGTTATCAATTTATGACTGTATATAATTTTCTTAATACTGTCGACTATCGTCTAATAACACACGTAGAGATGCCCTAAGAATCTAATGTCGAGTTTTTATGAATATTTTTGGATTAAATTCTAATTTACGTTGTAATTTGATTATGTGAGTGTAGGGATTGGCCGGAATTTCTGGATAGTGCTTCAGATGCAGTCATCAAGAACTTGCTTGAAGTAGAAAAGGAGAAATACTTCTTGAAGAAGAAGAAAAATTATTATAATTAGCTCTAATTTTATTTAATTTCTTTCTAACGCATTCATTATTCTTTCATGAATATATTCTCAAAATTCATGATCCTTGTCATGGTCAATTCAAATTGTATTATTTGTAGTATATTGCTTTCTTTATGATCAATTATTTTCATATTGCTCATATTTTTTTCGAGTTTATTATTTGACCCAGTTTCTAACAAGAAGTATACAGAAATGAGAAATGGCTTCAATCTATTAATACCATCCCGCTCTACTATGTCTCTTTTTTTCTCCGTGACATTTAACAATTACACGAATTATTAGAAGATTAAAAACATTATTTCTTCGAGAATTTTCTGATAAAAGCCCTTAATTTAAGTCCGCTGAAAAGGTAGAAATTCCCCGCCGAGAAATGAAGCGAAGAATGCAAGGGACTCACTTCGTTTAAATAAGGGGACTGCATGACCTGCTCCTCTAAATGTTGCAAATGTAAGCCCTTCATACTCTTGAAGCCACCCACCAACCTAGTACAAATCAAATATGTTTCAGTCAGCAATGCTACTGATGTAGAGGTTGCACTCGGAAAAACGTAACACCCCACCCACCTACGTAACACACATCTCTGCTCTCTCTCCCATTATTGCCAAAAAAGCGGCTAATAAGCTGCCTTTAAGCTAACCAAACTTGCTCTAAGATTATTCTATTTGTTCCCTAATTGAACCGTTTTTACTTGCTACAATTTATTACCTGTTTATGATGGTACCAAGGTCTCCACGCCCTTGTGATGGGCAGCCCCAAGGATTTTAAACTATATATTGTCGACATAAAAGGAACTCTACCATCAGTGTCCCCGCTGCCATCATACAAAAAAAGAAATATTATAAGATTGAGCACAATTTGAGACACAAGCATTTGTTTAAATGAATCTTAAACACGCCATTTCCCGTCCAAGATTTCAACAATTTTTCATAAGATGATTGGTGACGAAATATGAGCCGAAGTAATTCTTTTAGTGGCTGTGGATCTTTATGCATACAAGATCAAAAAGTAATTTAACACAATGCATATCTATCTACCTGTAGACCCATATTCTAAGTCCTGCCCCAATGAGCTTCTTGTATATGGGAAGAACCGACACCCTTCTACCGGTCCAGCTATAATAGATTGTCGTGCTGCATCGAATATTGAAAAGGATCAATAATGATGAACAATTACAAACTTTTGGAAGGTTGTTAACTATGTATGATACAAGGTTGAAAATAATCCCATCTAAAAACCTTATTATTAGATAAGGGACGCATTGAATTTTTTAAACTTGATTTTCAAGAGTCGAAAGTAAATTCAAAGTTGATTATATGAATTCACTTTCATCACGACTATCACGAAAAACAAGAGAAATCACCTACTTGCATATGGTCCAGTTCGTGAGGCTGGTTCCATCACCAACGTGAAGGGCCTTTTGAACATCATGTCGATTGTAATACGACCTTGCATAGTTATCCAGGCATGGATCATAACCAGAAATGACCTTTGGCATCTTTAAAAGAAAAAACCAAAAAAAAATAATCTTGAAATCGAAACTCTCAATCATACTTGTAAAATTTCAGCAGCATCTCCAATCTATGACATTTCTACCAAGCTTGTCCCGGCCTTTTATTCTGCACATCTAAATCCTCGATCTTTCAAAAATGATGAGAATTTAAATGCACTAAATTAAAAGTGAGAGACCAACTTACGACAAATATCATAGGTCGAAAACTTAAAAATTATGAGGTTTAAACAATATATCTTCCATTACCTTGTTAAATGAGCTCCTGAGTGTCTTCTTTTCTTCATTAGACGGAATACAAACTGATGTATAAAGGCTATATTTATCTATTTCATCATAATTTCGATCCATTTCGGTCACGGCCTGATCACAATCTTTATTGCTCCACGGATTTTCGCTGTAAAAGTCGCAGGATTCTTTGATTGTTTTGTGGGTTTCATCAGAAACTACAGCGTGGCTCCATGCATAATCAACTATTCCCTTCCAATCCTCAGCATCATGTGTTTCGGGATTGCCCAACTTCAATAAACTTATTCATTAGCCCTTTGCGTAATATCTTATTCAACATTATTATGATACAACTACGAAATTCTTTTGTTTAAAGCTGAGTCTTGGGTTGTCTTGAAGTTTAAGGTCAACCTTCTTAAGAAGAACAATCCAAACACTTGTATGTTGATTATTGATTTCATGTCTGAGGGACATGGGATTTTTAGGTTATATGTCGATTACTTATTCCACATTTGAGTGACATGGGACTTATACCATTAACAGAAAATTTAAGGGGGGTGGGGCAGTGAGCGAGGAGAAAAAATTGTGAGGGTGCACCATATTTTTGACAAAACAAATGGACTTGTTTACATAATTTTGAAAATGATCATATAACCTTAAATGGGAAGAGAATCATACCAAAATGCCTTTAAGGTCTATGAAAAAGGAGGGATCTCTGTTCTTGTCATGAATGAGTTCAGCCAGCTCAGGAACATACTTCCCTGACCAATTGAACACGTCAAGAGTACACGAGAATGCATGAAATTTACAAGATGTAGGGGAAATTTGTTCAAGGCAATACAAACTTGCAAATGTTTAAGATAATATACCTGCATAGCTCTCCCCTGCAATATAAAATTTCCGCTTCCTGTATGATGGAAACTTGAGGAACCACTTGTGCAGGAATACATATGCATCGTTGGCTGCAGGCAAATATTCCAACATAGACCATAACCCACCTCGTCTAAAAGTTAGAAGAGATGCAATATGTTTATTTAGCCCCTATTTGATCCCAATTTCTTAAACCCATTTTTTTCTATCATACTTTTCATGAGACTCGCAACTTTTATTAACTTTTTTATCTCACATTTCATCAATTTTTATCAAAATCAACTAAAAACCTGATTTTTATCATAACCAAACAGGGTCTTATTGAAATTAGGTCTTTAAATGTCCCTCACATACAGGTTGGATTCTTATTTTCTGAAAGCGTTTTATATACAATTTTCAAGAATTTGCTTGCTTGCCATTTCTGAGTGTTATTGTACAACTCACCAGCAAAGTCATCTCCCAGAATATCGTAATCGCCACTTGTGTTTGAGTATGAATATCCAACGCCAATTGGAGATTCGAGGAACAATAAGTTGGCTTCTGCACCATCACACAAGAAAAACAATACGTCAAAACTATTCAGTACCGGTGACAGCTTATTATATGTTATATTTGTAGACAAGACTTTCAGCTGGCTTATTATATGAATTAATCTAAGGGAAAAGTTAGTCAGACACGGTTGGCGACATGGGAGGAAAAACAGGTGCATGTGTCGGCACCTATTTGGGTAATTTTTATTTTTATTTTTAAACTGTCTAATCAGTGAATGAGACGTGTCCTACCTGTTTTTAACTCTGTTATTGACTCTGTTTTTGTAGCAAAACTCTTAATCTAAATGCCCATTGAGCCCCCGTTTGGCCACATTAAATTATGTACCGTGCTACACGAACATCTCGGTTGACACTTTGGATGACCGAACACACACCTCAGGGGTCGGGCATTATTTTATTCATGCGGGACCCACGAGAATGTGAGGATCGATCACCCGAGATGTCAACCATTTTCGGGTAAAGTTGCTTTACTCTTAAATTATAATTCATTTTTCTCTCTTTTTTTATTAGCATCACATTCTTCAATGAAATATTACACGTAAACCTAAAAATTCTCCCCCCCCCCCCCTCCCTTTTTAATCAAACATTCTCTAAAAAAATTACCATTCCTCTTATTATAACGTTGAATGATGGGGGTAAACAGGCACTTATTTGATATCGCCTTATGTGTAAGAAATCTGACTAGAGATTTGAATAAGTGCGGTTAAAATCAATGGTCTTATGCTTGCCCCATCAAACAATGTCAATCAAAATGTCAAACTTAATGTACGTATAGCAAAATTGCTTATCATATAGTAGTTTGTGTTCACCGATATTTTTTTCAATAGATCTGCATGCATAGCCTGTGGACAAATTTATTTATCTAAAGTTTGTAAGTTGAAACATCTCGTCTAAATATTAAACCTTTGTTCCATGAGTAAGGATTAAATGTTAATCCGCGTCCATCTATGTCCACTAGAAAAGGTCCAATCTCTTGTGTTGCACCATATCCCACAGAAGAACAACCCGGACCTGATCAAACAAACATCATCTTGTCACCTTAATGGAAAACAGGGAAATGAAGCACCAAAAAATTAATGCAGTAGAGTATAAAATACACTAGGAGTGAGTTGGAAAAGAAGGAAAAAGTAATGTGTCCACTTATAAATAATAAGAAATGGGAAAGCATAATCTATTTAATAGAAATTATTCATAATTAATTATTAATGTTGTCTATCGAATCATCATTCTGTTTCAAACATTTATTATGACCTTGGTAATATGAAAGTGGGCATCTTCCTTAGAGGACGTGACAAAAACTTGATTGGTCCAGTACAACAATACACGTCATAAAACAAAATGCCAAAGACGATATAAATATGAGCAATGCTACATGTACAAAATTGGATTACAATATGAATTGACAAAATATGTGTTCGCAAGATCTGAGTCAATGATTTAAAAAACAGTTTTTGACATCATTGGTTTGAATTTTGTCAACCATTTTTATAACTCAATTTTGTACAAGTAGGTTAACTCTATAATTATATCCCGATTGCGAGCTTAGTGGGTTTTAGACCCCTAAACCCTAGAAAGGACAAATGATGATGCTATGGAACAATTATAGAAGGGAAAGGGGGAGAAAAGAAGAGAGGGAAAGGGGGGAAGAGAGAAGAATTGAGGGGAAGGATAAATCTGTTTATTTTATATATATCAAAGAGAGGAAAGGGGGAGAAAAGAAGAGAGAGAAAGGGGAGAAGAGAGAAGAATTGAGGGGAAGGATAAATCTGTTTATTTTATATACATCAAAGCTTGCTTGAATTACGTCGCATAAATCCCTGGGTTTCGAAGACCCTAATTAGATAAGAAAACACTATAAAAGCTATTAAATCATACTCTAATTATGTTTCTGAAATACGCGTCAAAATTGAAAACTACATATAATAATATTTCTTCTAATATACCATTGAGTAATGAATGGTTCAACCAAGCACCTAAACATTATTTTGATTATTTTTTAACAATTAATCTTTGTTGGATTTTATGCTGGATATCATTTTGTCTGACACGTGACCAAATCCGTCAAGTGTCTATAACGGAACGATTAACTAAATGAAATTCAAAATTAAGTCTGGTGATCAAGTTGGAAATATACTTTTACCTCCATTGAGCCATAGCACCAAAGGTTTCTCATTTGGGTGAGTTTTGGCTTCAAAAAACCAGTAAAAGAGAGCTCTTCCATTTGTCTCATTTACAGTGACATAACCAGCATAATGCTCAAATTTTACACTGGGCTGGCCCGGCAGCTCAGTCACAACATCCTTAGCACCTCCGAAACTATTTTTTTTCTCATTAGACCTGTGTCTAGCATCTGCAACTGACTCAAATATCATAATTACGACGAAGAAAAGCACAATTTTAAGTACAAGTGCCATTGAAAAGCAGCACACAATTAGAGAGACAGTAGAGTGTGTATATTTGAGGTGAAACACGTGAAGATCCATTCATTTATATATAGGGCACAAGTGATATCCTATGTGCAAAGTGTGGATAAGAAATAAGTTGGTCTTACAAAATATTTCGGAGGCTAGGGTTTCATTGATTCTGCATCATGCAAAAAGAATACAAAAAGATAATTTAACCTAAAAACAAAGAGACTATATATAAACTAAACAAAGGAAACTAAAAAAACTGTTATACCATTAATAAATAATAAAACAAAAATAACTCCATATTTCTTAACAGGTATCTCCACGTTTGGATAATATACACAAGTTTTAGGGTTAAACTTCACACGAATTACGTAGAATTGGTGGAGCCTCCATTTTGATGGGTTGTTGGGTCAAAATCACGTGATTTGGATGACCAACTCATAAATATTAAAATCAATGTTAATGACCGTTTACTCTAAAAAGTATTTGAAAGGCGGGTCAAGAGTTAAGCAAAGCAGGTCAATTTTATTTATTTATTATTTTTTTGTAGAACAATTTGTTTGTTTTCAAACTAGTTAACGAATAAACACAAATACAAATTTTTAGAATAGAATTAATTTGTTACGCCTCATCATCGAAGTTCAAGAAGAGGCCCACGCGAGAGCCTCACAAAGGCCCACACTCCACGTCACCAAAAGAGACGAAGCAAAGCGTCTCAATTGAAGCGTCACTGCAGGTGAAACACAGTGATGAAAGCGAGGTGCATCTCATGCATCAATTTATTCATGGAGAGGTGATCTACAGCTTTTGCCGAAGCACTATGTGAGGCTGTAGCCCACATGAGCAAAGTGGAAACCTTCTATTTACATAGGAGTATTTCATAGCCACTTCTTTTAAGAAATCTTCTGCACAAAAGATCCTTTGAAAATGATTGATGTGACATCTTGCAGCAGTATAATGTTAAGTCTTGTCAGCCTACGTCATAGGTACGCAAACCCAAGCTGTAGAGTTGTTACTTTTCAGATTACATTAATTGTTGTCGATCATATAATGTACAAGGTAACACCTACGATAGGACGCTTCAACCCATAGTTATAAAATCGGTGGCGCGGCGTGGTCAGACCGTAAAACTGGCGGCCAAGACCCTTGATTGGGCTGGACAAATTAATTTGATAGAAATGTACTTGACTCGATCAAAATAGGGGTTTGACCAAGTTAACCGCCGATTTACCTCGCCCAATTGACCGGTTTGATTGGATTTTGAAATCCTCTTACAAAATTTTTAGGTCCAAACCCTTGGACCTCTAAGAAAAATAATGGATTTCTCACCACTTGAGCATAAAGTACTTTAGTATTATTTGTGTGCAATAACTTATATCTATCCAATTAATCACTTATAGATTTTACAAAAATATTCTTTTGAAAAACTTTGATCAAACCCTTTATTTTATTTTATAGACCTAAATAATTAGTGAAAAATAAATTAAAAAATTTAATTTTACCCCTAAAAAAATCTATATTTTATATTTTTTTGTAGGTTTTTATGCAATGACCCGCCGATTGAACTATCGGATCACCGATTGAATCACTAACACATTGACTTGCTGCATTGTCTGAGTCTATTTCAGGATCGAATCTGACAACTATGCTTCAACCGTTAGAATGAAGTCACGTATTTCTTAATCCAATGACCACTTCTTCACCCAAGCCACTATAAAAGTCCACAACTCACACCAGCTCAAGTATAATGCAATTTTA